GCGGTCAAATGTTAGCCAGGCAACAGGCAGCGATATCATCTTTCTGCTTCCACTCCAAGCCTACCAATAAATACTATATATATATATGTATATATAGATTTAGGTACGTCTGGTGTATGCTCGACTATCTGTTAAGTGGAAGGCAGACAAGTGTCTGAACACACGTTGTGTGTGGGTTACTGCTTCAAGCGTGCTAAAGCAAAGAAATTATATCTATATGCATATTTCTAGTTAACATGCTCTGTAGGCATTACTTGAGGTCATGAAAATCACATAGAAAGGCGATATTTAAGCGTGAGAGGCATTACTTATTGACATGATAATTGCATAAGGCGAGCGAGAGAGAAAGAGAGAGCAGCAAAGTAACAGGTAGGCACTATCAGTATCATGATTATAAAAATATTGAGAACAACCCATAAATTTACGCATACATCATGAAAAACCTCACTCACACTCACATTCGCACGTAAGCGTTACTCTGTTACTCATTAACAGTGTCAATTATACCGCAATGTTAAAGCACAGTTGATGCATTCAACCAGCAAGCACACACTCACACAGTCATGTAAACTAACAGTGACCCCCTTCTGGCTGCCCGCCTGTACACTTGCTGTTATCTAAGAGCGCACAATTCGCCGTTAAGCAAGTCAACAAAAAGTCACAGTCGCATTTATATAAAGTACTGTGACTAATGCTCAATTGAATTATTGTTGGGCGAGGAACAGCCCCCACCCCACTGGCCCTGGCCCCTGCCAACCACATTTGATTACAGGGCAACAACAGGCAAATGGTACCTGAAAACGGGGTCATAATTAAGACGCTGGCGATTAACATAAAATGGCAAATTCCATGCAGCAACACCAATTGCGCTCGGCTGGTGGCTCAAACGTAATTTGGGTCAAAATTCAGGCAACAAAAATTATGTATTATCATTAAATTTCATTACAAGCGGCCGCACGAATCGAGAAAAATGCAAAAAAAAAAAAAAATAAAACAGCGCAAAAATCATGGAACTGGAAACCGTTACAGCAAAACGCACTTCAACTCAAGTGTACAGTTATAGTGACGACGCCAGCGCTGACTGCAGGCAACAAAAACAAAGCCAGGCCTCTGTCTCTCGCATTTCTTGTGCGTGTGAGTGGATGTGTGTGTGTGTGTGTGTGTAAGTGTCTTTGCCATTTTTGGGCAGACAGCAGAGGGAGACAGACAATCGAAATGCTAAAACATGCGAAAATGCGTACGCCTACCTCCCCAGACAGAACCTTGCCACACACACTAAAGATGGGCGCGTGTCAAAGTGTTGCCATACCTTTGGCTTTGAAATGGCTTTTTGGCTAAGTATAGGTTTTTCTTTGTTATTTTTAATTTAGAAAATGAGCGTAAGTCTAGCGGCACACATGAAAAACTAGCCTGCCTAAAAAGAAGCAAACAAGCTAAATTTGACGGCTAAAAAGCTTAATTGGCAACACTGCCACTGATACTTTTCTCGCGTATAACGGCACGTGTCACGCGCTCATCTCTAACAATCTACGCACGCTGCAGTCCTGCTGCGCGCTGACTCATCACGATGATGATCATTCACGAGCAAGTGATTGGTGGCAGGTTCAACGAACTATGTGGCAACGCACTTACCAAAAAAGTCCTCCCAGGTGTCCGAATCGGATTCTATGTCCATCTTGGTGACTGCTACTGCGACTGCGACTGCGACTGCGACTACGCCTGCTGCTGCTGCTGCTCCTGTTGCAGTTGATTTATGTTCGCAATGCCTTGTTTGGTATTTGGTTTGTGTCCAAATTTAGCCAAAGATTGCGTGGCTGGTTTTTTCGCACTAAGTATATTGGGGTGGTGGGGGGGTGGGTGTTTTATGGCTTGTTAGATATCCTATCTAGTCGAGGCCCCTTGTCCATAGTCTTTTCCGCTTAGTCGCTGCGCAAATGACTTCACCCGGCATTGCTTAGGCAAAGGCGAAAAGCTACTCCAATCAATGGTCTACCGATAAGATAAACACACACGCACACACACACACACGTTAACGCGCATATACAAAGCGAGTTCAAGAGTTTTACACTGTGCGAAACGTCTTCTATCTTATCGCCGCTATTCGCGCAGAGCAAATACCTAATAAGTACGCAATTTAGACTGGAAGTGCAGCGCAACAGCTGTTATACATACAACATGCATGCGCACAGACACACACACACACACACGCGCGCGCGCATACACACACTCAGGCGCGCACACTTGACTGTTAGATGGATTTTTTAGCCAGCAGTTGGCGATTCTCAAATCAACTTGTAGAATTCTCAGAAATTCGCGTATGACTAAACCGGCTGTGAACTTTGCCTAGGCTTTTGATTTTTTCAATATTTGTTTAATTCGCTCTTCAACTTTATTGTTGTTGTTGTTGTTGTTGTTGCTGTTGTAGTTGGTTGGGGGCACAGGTAAAAACACTTTAATAACAAAAACAAATTGCAAACACTCAATTTGAAGATGCACTTGGAATGGACGCTCCGCTGTCTTTCCAGTTTCACCTTCGCACCGTTACTTCTAATTGTGGAAAACACTCTCACAGCAACAAGCACTTCCAACAAAGCGTTGCACGCACGCGCCTTTAACGACGACGACGATGGAAAGAAACGGCGACGGCGACGACTCACCCACACGACGTTTCGAGGCGAACTGAATGCGCGTTGCCGCCAACACAATTCGAATGGCTGTTATAAAATTGTACATGTTATAAAACTGCATATTGAATGCCACAATTTAGCTGTTGGTCGGTGTTGTTAACAATGAAATCTTGTAGTTATTCATTAGCACTGTTAAATGTATATTTTTCATTATTTACGACACATTAAATTTAAGTTAATATTTTGTTTTGCTCAAAAGGCATTGTTATTGTAGCCGCAAATGATCTAAACTGATCTGTTACTGCGGCACTCACTTTACAGTGTATGTTATTGTCAGGCGTTACTAAATTGTGCTAAACTCAAAATGGCACTGTTACTTATTAAATGTTGAAGGAACTGTTAAGCGTATATTCTAAACACGACATATACGTTATATTTATACATTTCTAATTTCACAATACATTTAAAATAATTTATGCTAAACAGCAATTAGCGCAAACATTCCAATAAGAAATTACCGCCCATGCAAAGTAGATTTCCACTAAAATAAATGAAAATTTTAATTGTTGCCGCGCTATTGATAATAACTTACCTAGAATAAATATAATTCCCAAGCCGACGTAGAATAAGGCAGCACCCAGTGCCGCATACACTATCAATACAATAACGGCAAAAATAAGGGACAACAGGGCCAAAAAAAAGGAGACCAGTATTAAAAAGCAGTATTTCTGTACAAAAAGAAAAATTCCACTCAAGTTACATTTGCACAAAAGGCTAGGTTAAAACTTACACATGCAATACCAATAAGTAAAATGATTTTCCCCAGGAAATATATGATTAGAAATATTATTGCCAGCACTGCCAAAAGCAGCGATGCTTCAGGACAAATGCAGGATATGACATACACTAAGCCAACAATCGAGATTAAAAGGCCCGAGATGCCGATAAAAATGCACCCATAGTATAGGTTTATGCAGCACAGAAAACAATTTTCGGATAGGAACATTTTATAAAAACCACATTACTTTGAATTTCAATTTAAATCGTTTGACGTTTGGCGCGCAGCTAACTTTTCAAGCCGCTCGATTACGATAAATAGTGTATGCCTATCGGTTTTGCAACACCACGATAACAGCGCGTGGGTGGCCCTGTTAACCATTGTATCGATACTTAGCGCTTTTACAAAAAAAAGCATTGACTACTCGATAGTATCGCAACAATGGACAACAATGGAAGTACGGATATTTTAATTCCGCCCGCAGCAAAAAAGGCCAAAACGCAGCCACCGGACGACAGCTTTGACATAAAAGCCGTGCTATCCGACGAATATAAGAAGGACATAACACTCATCCAGGTGCACAGCAGTCAAGTGGAAAGCAAACAGCAGCTGCAGGCGGTCATACAGGAGCTTGCCCAGAAATTGCCGCATTTTCAGCATTTGAAGCGTGTCCATGACAGAAGCGTGCTGATATGCCCCACGGCGGACATCAAGGACACGCTGGAGCAGCATCTAAAGCTGCACAAAATCTCCGACAATGTGCTGGAGGCTCTGTGCCGCAACGTGCATGTCGTCCAGGTGCCCGCCAGCTGCGCCCGGCTGCGCGTCCAATACGAGCAGATGATCAAGTACTGGCCATGCAAATTTCATCCCGATAAATATGCCGAATCCCTGCAGAATGGCAGCAACTTTACGGCCAGCCAACGTGCCTACCACAAGCGCATGGCGCAGCTGTTGCGCAGCCTCTCCCAGGATGTGAATGAAGGCCAGCCCGTCGGCATATGCGTGGATCCCCGGAATCCCAGCATTGTGGCCATAGCAGGTGCGCATGTCGACATGATATGATATGACAGCAATTTAACCAAATCAATTCCCACAGCAGGCGGCAGCAGCGGGAGCAGCCATCAGCATTGCGCCATGTGGCTGGTGGATCATGTGGCGCGCAGTCAACGGGGCGGCGCCTGGCAGACGCAGCTACAGTTCGTCGAGGACGAGCCGAGTCCAACTAGCACGCTGCGCGGCCTGCCACGGCCATATTACGACTATCTGCAGCAGCAGGAAGCTTGCCGGGATTTGCAGTTCGGCGCCGAGCTGCCGCGACGTGGCGAGCAGCCGGTCGCTGATGATCAACAGGCGGATAATCTCAGCAAATACGGACCCTATCTGTGCACCGGCTACGATGTCTATCTGCTGCGCGAACCCTGCCTCATGTGCGCCATGGCGCTGGTGCACAGCCGCGTGAAACGCATCTTCTTTCTGGAGCAATCGGACGACGGCGCTTTGGCCACGAGTTTCCAGCTGCACTCGGTCAAGGAGCTGAATCATCACTACGAGGTCTTCCAGTTTACAACATGAATTCAAACCATGTTTCTTTTGACAATTGTTTATGCACTGAATAATAGATTTAATTTGATAGCAATGTGTCGATTCGTGGTGCATCAAATGTGCTCCGGCTGACGCTAGAGCTGGCGCTGGCCTGGCGCATGGGCGTCGATATCAGCCCGAGCAGCTGGCAGTCTGCCTCCAAAATGGTTATGTCCTTGCTGGAGCCCAAGAAACGGGTGGATAGCTCCAGGTCCTTGACACGCAGACGCACACGTGCGCCGCGCACATAGTCGCTGCAAAGGATTCGCAATTGATTTCCATTATCTAAAAGCTGTTGTTGATTTGACTCATTGATTGATTGATTGACTGAGTGATTGATGATCAACGTGAAGCCCAAGAGCTGTAAGAGCTGGTCAGCTGCATGCTTTTACAGTCGTTGCATTTGGTGAAGAGCTTAGCTTAAGTCCATTCGCACGTTTGGAATATTGTAACAAACTTGAATCGGGCAATGCCGGGCAATATCTGCTTATGTATGTATGCCTGTCTTACCTGCCATTGCGCGCCGGTCGCGTGCACACGCAATGAAATTTCCAGCCAAAGTCGATGTACAGATCGTCGCCGACAACATGAAATATTTTGCCACTGACTACCTTGCCCTCGGGATCGCCCAGCTGCAATTGTTTGGCAGAGATTACATAAACACGCTGGAGTGCCACCTTTTGGTCATGTGTCTGCTTACATCAATGAACTTGGAATTTCGCAGCATTGATGCAAAGCTTTGATTGTCCACGGGCGCCGGCTCTGGTGTTGCAGGTGCCGTGTACTTCTCGAAGGCGCGAGCGAAGCCTCCTTTGGCCTGGTTTGCCGGCTGCTCCTCGGTCACATTGTCGACGCTTGCGCTTGTTTCACTGTTGTTGGCGCTAAAGGTGCGCTGTGTGGCGGATAATTGGCGACGCCAACTAGTCTGTAATGTGAACCTGGCCAGCTTGTGCAGCAGCGACATCTTTTTTATTTATAAAATATAGGAAAATAAGTTTAACAAGCGTGAAATTCAACTAAACCGATAAATTGCCAGCAAAACTATCGACGCGCCGCCACATTCAGCCAAGAACAGCTGACTGAACTAGACAGCGATTGTGGCGGTTATCGATAATTAAGCAATTATCGTTACGAATTACAAAACACGCTGTCTGGCGGCCGGGCATATTTTTCTAGTTTATATATTACGAAATCAGCAGTTGCAGTTGATTTAAAGCCACAATTGATCAACAGTCAAAATGATACAACAACAGCGCCAGCGTGTCGAGTCGGCCGTCACCGAGCTCATAGACGATATGGACAAAACGCATTTGCGCAAAATGCAGGTAAATTGCCGCACACACCAAATCCAATTGGAAAACGTTACAAGCGCAGTTTTTATGGCTAATCCTAACAGACAGAAATGCATTTGTGTGCGGCAAAGTGCTGCCAGGACGGCAGCTCCAGCGTTGACAGCGTCCAGCGCTGCGTCGATCGCTGCTCGGCGCCGATGACACGCGCCCAGAACTATGTGCAGCACGAACTGGGCGAATTTCAGGGCAGACTACAACGTTGCGTCATGGTATGCCAATTGGACACACATATTGAGAGAGTTTGATTCCCTGACTATTCTTTTATGTCCGACAGCAATGCAACGACGATGTCAAGGTCAAAATGCCAGCCACTCCCAACGAGGATCAAATAGCCAAGTACACGGATCAGTTCGAGCGCTGCGCCATACAATGCGTGGACAAGCATGTCGGGCTCATACCCAATCTGATGAAAACCATGAAGTCGGTTCTGTCCAAGGGACCCGAAGCAATACCGCAAACCTAAGTCATTGTGTATACATACATATATGTATATGTATATATATCCCTGCATATGCATATGTGTTGCATTTAATCTTAATTAACTTTAATAGTTGAGCTCCTTTTCTAATGTCTGGAATATTGCTAACTAAATCCAATTTTATGGCCGCAAATTAAATGCTGTTTTTTTTTCAGAATTTTTGGCGCCATAATTTAAAAACAAAGTTTGTTTACTTGAGATCACGTTTGCTTTCCTATTACTAACAGCACAGTCTACATATATATCTATATATATATATATGAGAAGCAAAAGAATCGGCTTTTATTTTTTTTTCCAAATTATTTAATTTATACGAAATCCAATGGTGGAACAACAGAAGCGGCGCCTAGAGAGCGCCATCAGCGACATGATTGAGGACATGTATCGCTCCCATCTGCGCCGCATGCAGGTGAGTTCCAGGCATGGAGAGGATCTGCCCCGAGCTAATGAAGCAACTATCCTAACTGCAACAGCACACAATGCATCGCTGTGCGGCCAACTGTTGCGATGATGAGCGCGGCACCTTGGACAGCGTTCAGCGATGCATCGAGAAGTGCGCCTCGCCCCTAATGGATGCCCAGGACTATCTGCAGAACGAGCTGGGCAATTTTCAGAATCATTTGCAGAGCTGTGTCAAGGTGCGTACACCCCATAAGAGGGGCTAATCCCAATGCCAAGAAGACCCTAGCTCGATCCCCATCAAGCCCAGATATTGTCTGTTGCCATGCCAAACTAGTCTCTCAGTTTTTGAGCTATCAATCTGGGTCTCTTTGTGGGCAGTTCCCCATGTGTTATGATTATCTATTATATACACATATTAGGTACTTCTATGGAACAGATTTGTGTAATTTCTTATCAGCATATGGCCGCAATATCAATTAGTTGTCGTAGGAGCAATCAGTCGAAAACAAAGTCTATATATGGAGAACTTATTCAGGTATTCTAAACAAAGTCAGGATAAAATCGAAGCCCTTTTATGATATGATAGGAACAGTTGGAGGAAAATCGAATACCCATAGTGATAAGAAAACTTAGTATAGAAATATATATATAAAGTAATATAAAGATAACGCAAACTTAACTCACCTGTCTCGTATGCCTTTCCTTGCCTGTTCCTTGCTAGGAATGCAATAGCGATGCACGCTCCAAATTGCCAGCAAATCCCAACGAGCGTGATATGTCCCGATCGAAGCATCTGTTTGAGACCTGCACCGGTAACTGTGTGGACAAGCATATCACCCTGCTGCCGGGTCTGATGAAGAACATCCAGAAGACACTCGATCGGGGTGTGCCGCGACGATCCCATCTGCGCGATCAGAAGAATCACGATGACTAAACGAACGAGTATACAAATTAGCGAGCAGTTTTCTTTTTTCTGCTTTTATTATTATGCCAATTGCCAGTTAAGAGAATATTGGGTTTTTACTTTGTGAATGCGTATGTAAAATAGAAAAACAGCAGCTCGTGCTAAATTCGACGTGTTTCTTTTTCAAAGCCAGGCATTGATAAGCTCTGCTGCCTGTGGAGGGTTCAAGGCGTTATTGATAAGATTGTTTTTTTGGACATTTAGTTTTTGTTTTTGCGTTTTTGTTTTTCCTGTGTCAAATGGGAACATCATGTAAGTTGTGTACGCGTTTTGGTACGTATTTTTGGTATAGCTAAGACTTAAATATATATGCTGCAGTAAGAACTATATAAATATAACTAAGGAAGTGTATTGCACAAATTCTATTGCTCCGTTGGCTTGGTTCGCACGCCGTATTTACTCCAGAATGTCACCTTGGCCGTGGCCTTTTTGCCATTGTCCTGGAAAATGCTGCACGTATCGAAGGGCGGACAGTAGAGATGCAGGGAGACGGCCGTATCCGCATGGCTGGGATTCTCTACGCGATGCAGGCCCAGGTTATCTGTGTGCGTGTGAAAGTAATGCATGAAATTAGGGCACGATTGGGCGAGTCGAGTTAGGCACCTACCATTTATATAGGCCACATCATTTACGGGTATGGGCGTGTCACCGATCTCCTGTAGCTCGTGGTCATTGATCTCGCCATGCTCGTGCTGCTGCTGCTGGTGGTGCTGCTGCTGATCCTCGCTGCTCGTGGGTCGATTGGGATAACGGTAGCGTTTCTCGCGCAGCTCACCCTTGAGCATCTTCATGAAGCAATGCGAATCGGCATGATCGTGCACCGACGAGCTGTGACCCTCGCCCCAGCAGAGTATCAACAGATTGAACTTCCCGTTGCCGGCATCGACCAGATTGCGCGTATACGTGTAACGATCGAACTTGGCATACTTGCGCCATTCCTTGGGATTCGATTTGTAGCTGAGCATCAAATGGTTGACCATCTCGATGTTCACGTAGTTCGACTCGAATTCCCGATGCAGCGCCGATATCAAATCCGGCAGTGTCTCCACGACGGGCCCATATTTGAGCGGCTTTTCGAGTGCGCAATAATATTGCGTGGCCTGGCGCAGATATTTCTCCTGGTCGATGTGCTCGATGTCCGTGTCGATGGCATCGATTTTGGACAGTGCCATTTTGCACGTGCTTTGATTGACCTGTCGATATGCAGATTGATGGATTGATTCGCGTTTATATTAGACGGGGGAGGGGGCTTGCTGAAGGCTCAATCTGTTGCCTGATCGATTCAGTGGAAAAATACAAATCTAAGTATAGATTCATAATCGCTGTAAACTTACTTCTTGATTGATTTAAATGAATTGCGCGCTGTTCTATTGTTGTTGTTGTTGTTGTTGTTAATCTCCTCTGGCTGATAGCTCTGATTTGCTTTTAGATGAATCTCCCTTAGACTTTCTATAGTCTGTATATAGTCCGAGCTCGGACCACTTAAATCAAGCGACTGATTGCGAATGCGACTGTCCGTCAATAATCCGACGATTTCTTATAAACATCAGCCAGATACGCCAAGCATATAGGCACTATATATATATATATATATATATATATATATAACGCTCAACCCAGCCCATTATCAACGATCTCCGGGCTATGGAATATGTTGCCAGGAGCGCAACACAGCTGGCCCCAGCCGGGCAGGCACACGCAAATCTCCATCGGAGCCGCGATTAGCCCGTATTATAGATTTTTCGGTGTTCGCTTAATGAGCTCCAGGCCCATTTGATAAGATGCCCAAAATTTGTTGTTCAAGCCGCCTGCTGACGCATGCCATCTGATCGGGGAACTTATTTACATATATATACATATATTGTATATATAATCGAGTGCGGGCATTTACCAAGGAAAGCACCTTGGCTCGTGGGCAGATAATATATTTTGCGTCATTTCTAGAATTTTGTGCGGATTTCCATGGCACAGACAAGCCCAAATTGAGTTAGTTCTTTCAAATTGAAGGATGAGCAGCAGTTTGTTAGGGAGAAGATTAAAGAAGCTCTAAGGCGCAGGCATTTCTGGCCAAAGGAGCAGCTAAATATGGAGCATACTTCCAGGCGTTTCTGGGCAAGACTCCGTGGCTTATTTGGGTCGAAATGGAAACCCAATAAAAAGCCCAAGAGCTGCGTTATATTTATGGCGCTATAAAAGGTATTAAGCTAAGGTTTTAAGCCAAAACCACGCTTAAACATTTTAATGAGCCGTAAATGCAACGCTTGAAATCGTGGTAAAAAAAACAACACACACTTAATTGCGGCTCACATAATTTTCGCCTTGACTTGGCTGTTATTTCAAGCAAAAACAACAACAACAACAAAAACTCACTCACAGCGTGTTGGCCAATTTCAGTTTTGAAAACGGTTTTTTTTTTTTTTGTTTTTGCAATCGTTTTCAAATGCGCCAAAAACTTGGCGCACAACTTTCGCAACAGGTTAAAGGCCGAGCGAAAAACTGCTGCAGGCATTTTCCCTACCCCCCCGCGCCCGCCCCCACCCAAAGTTCAACAAACTGCACTGTGTGCGGCAAATGTATTAAGGATGCGTTATTACATACCATTTTTGTTTGGTTTCTTTGTTCCTTTGTATCAGGTTTGGAATTGCGGTTAATTGTAGTATTTGCACTGCACTGCAACACTGTTGAATTGTGTGACTCTGCCAGTTGAATGCGGCGCCGTTCAGTTGGTTTGTGTGCGCGTTTTTGGTATCTTTCACCAATTTATGGGAATCCGTTGGCCCATGCAAAACGTCAGTTTTTTTTCACTCAAAACGCAATTTGAGTGACATGCGACGGACTCGAATGGCATTTTGAGCGCTTTTTGGGCGACGACGACGCCGACGCTGGCAGCCATTGCTGCTGCTCAAGCGTTGTAGCCGTTATTACTGTTGTTGTTGTTTTAGTTATTTGCATATTTGCTGGCTTCTCTTTTGCTTTTCTTTCGGCTTTGTTTGCGTTGCTGCGAACCATTGAGTCGTTGTTGTTGTTGTTGCTGTCTTCGCCTTTGCAGAGCCATCAGCAACTATTAATTATGAAGACGACTCGTTGTTGTTGTTGCTGCTGCTGCTGCTTCTGTTGTTGTTTTTTCGATATTTGCAGAAGAAAGCAGCTACCATCGGCTCTGTGGGAAGCCAAGCCTTAAGAGATTTGCCTTTGTTGTTGGTATCTGAAATTTGGCCTAGGGTCAAATGCTGTGCGAGACGAAAGATATGTGTGTCAAGTGTTGTTTATCAGCCCAACTGTAAAACTAGATAAAAGTAGAAAACAAACTGTAAATGTGCCGCACACATGTGAAGGGATTAAAGAGCACATCCTGTGCTCGTCGATATCTTTCCCTGTTATGTTATTTTTGCCTGCGCGCTATTTTTAACATTAACCCGAAATACACTTAACATTAACATAAACTATTGACCTGCAGCTTTCTACATTCCGTTCTCGAGTTTAATGAACTGTTATTTATGCGAGTATCTTGATTTATGGTCTGTAACACTTACATAGACATTCTACGAACAATATTATGATGCTAATATAAACAAAACTATTTATGCTTAAAAACAAAAAAACAAAACAAAAAATAATAACAACAATTGTCGTCACGTCTTCTAAGCGAAAAATGATCAACTAATGGGAATTTGACGAACTAGTTCAATGAACCGAAAAGATGCTAATTTCCACATACTTTTCTTATCAGTCTATGTAAAATTCAATCTGTGTATGTAAATTATAAAAACATTGTATAGCAATTTGTTCATTTGTTTAACAAATGTGATCTATGCTTCAACACTAAAACATTAAATATATATTAACTTTGAGTTATCAAACTCTCGAACTTGTTGTGTATTCAAGCAGAAAATGATAGGTATATATATATATATCGTTAGGTGTTTTACATATTACATTCAGTAAGCGTAGAGATCATGGCCCAGCCACTGGGCTTTATAATAGTGCTCCATTTATGGTTATTTTTTACCCCTGTGAGTACTCTATAAACTAAGGACAACCAATATTATAAAATTCTGGCCCCTTAGATCCAGGCAAGGCTCAAGATCAACGGCCTAAGTTGTGGCGCCCCTCAGACAGACATGATTAGCTTGGAACAGTGTCGTATAAAGGCCGTAAATCGCAATCTATATCTCATGAACATGCGATATAAAGTGATAAAAACCATAACAGAGGTATGCATACAAGTGTTATCTCTATACGAAATGAGGAGTTATCTTTTCAATGATTTCCTATAGTTAAAGGTTCATTATAAATTCTTCAAACGTGAACGTGGTGGTTGGCATCCTTGGTTATATGATACGAATGCAGATATATGCGATTTCTTCAAAAACCGCAAGAGATTTTTACTGTTGAATGAAATATTCAAGAGGTTGAATGGATATACGACCCTGAATCACACCTGTCCCTATATGGTTCGAGTTTTTTTACTTTTAATTTACTTAGCTGCATTAATTTGTGAATCCTTTTGTGTTTAGGCTAATACGGAAATTCAGGTTCTGGACTGGTCGGTGCCTGATAATGTTTTAAAGCCATTTCCCGTCGATCATGGCGAATATGCACTGCACACAACTTGGTATCACAATAAGAAAATACTTTGTCAAGTCAACGGTTCGGTTGTTTACTCCGACTAGTTGAGAAATATGTTGAGTAATGTATGTGGTAAAAGATTGATCGCCATCAAAGTCTATTATCTGGAATATAGACATCAAATGTATTACTGGCAACTTAATCTAAACTTAGTTAAAGTTTACTTAAATCAACCTACCTCACTATCAAGTCGCTTTAACTCTGAAATGACAGTTTTATCCTCCAGATCTTGCCCCTGTAAATAACAGCGCAACAGAAATAGGCTTCTGTTGATATGTTAACATATTGAACGAGTAACACTGTTTACATTTGCTTACATTTTACATTTACATAACACTCTTAACAGAAAGGATCAGTTGCTTAACACTGCACGCAATTGCATCTGCAACGCATAACATTTGTTTACAGTTTGTTTAGTTAACATAACCTTAAATGTAATCCAGATACGTTAAGTGAAAACAACTGAAAACAATTATTTATATAAGCAGTTTTTCGTGGATAACATTAAATATCTATTATAATGACAATTAAATTCACTAGTTTTTTGCGTGATAAAACAAAGAATGACGAATGACTCTTTAATCTTAAATATAGTAGAAAATGCAATGTTTGTTAAAAGCAAACTAATCTTCGTTCTCGGACATATCAAATTGATCATCATCAAAGTCTATTATCTGGAATTTAGATAAAACATATTACTGGCAACTTAATCTGAACTTAGTTAAAGTTTCATTTAATCAACCTACCTCACTATTAAGTCGCTTAAACTCTGAAATGCCAGTTAGATCCTCCAGATATTTGGCCGTCTCGAAGGTTTTGAACAAGAATGCGTGACCCTCGCTGCGATATGCGGCCAAAACGCGCTAAAATACGGGAACAAGGCATACATTCTGTACATCTGTACATATCGACATATATATATTCATATTATCAAATACCTGCGAGCAGGCAATACACTGCGCAAACTTTTGTGTGGCAGGCAGAATGTTCTCATAGTTGCACAGCATGCCGCGTATGGAGTGCGGCAGGATGCCCAACAGGCCCTCCGGCAGTTGGGGCGTCTCCTGATGCTGACCAACTCGACTGTTGGCGTAGTAGGCGGGCGCCAGTTCCCTTTGCGGATGCTGCAGCAGGGCCACCAACAGCTCCACCGCATAGCTGGCTGCTATGTTAGAGACGCCGGGTCGCGTAACAGTGCACTGTTGATCCAGTGTGCGATCTTTAAGCGACTGTAAATAACAGAAGAACAGCAGAATTAGGCTTCTGTAGATATTTTAACATTTTGGGCGAGTACCAGTGTTCAGATTTGTTTAAAATTTGTATGAGTAACAGCTGTTAACGAACAGGACCTGTTAACATAACGTGGACCTGTCTAACATAACATATGTTTACATTTTCCCTACATAGCATTTGCTTGCTGCATTAACAGCACACAAACTGTTAACGGGCGCTGTAGTAAGCTGGGTATGCAGCCAATAACATTTATTTACATTTTGTACGGCCCAGCTAAGCTTTGCTTGCTTTTTAAACAGCATACGAGCTTGCAAAAGCTTTTTAGTATCGTTTTACAGTGTCAACAAACAACAAATACAAATATATATATATATGAACAAAATGACTCCCCCCACGATAGGTAAGCCAGCTGAGCGTGCGAGCGCCAAGTAAACAATTAAAACACAAAAAAAAAAAACAAAAAAAAAACAAATTAAAGGAAAAACAACAAAAATTAACTAAATAGTAAAAGTACATAACACGGAGCGTAGAAGAGTGCAATGGGCAGGCCAAACAACGCTTGCCAGCTCTCGAGTCGTTTACTGATTAGATAAAAAGCAACAAAACTCTCCGAGAAGTTGCCGTGGGCAAAGAATTATTGTTTTCATTGAACGTACCGTGAGATAATGTCGATTCGCCTAGCCGACAACATCGATAAAGTCTAACAAAAAAAAAAAAAATCGCCGAAAAATCGCCTATTACCAAATAAATATTGCTTAAATATGTTAACAGAGTACTCGGGCAATCTGTCGCATCCCCTGGAGTTCGGCCATGTGCTGGAAATTGTGGCCAAGACAATCGACGGCGCCGCCCGGTAAAGTACACCCAACCCCCTGAGAGACCCGTCTAAATTGCTCGAACATGACTAAGTGTACTTGGTCTCTTATCGGGGTGCAACATATGACTAACTCGACGCCGACAACTAAACAATTGTATAACCCGCCGCCGTCTAGGTTCCATATCAATCTGTGCACGGCCAAGTCGACGGTGAATCCGGACGCGGACATTGGATTACGTTTCTCCTGCTATTTTCGCAATGATACGATTGTGCGCAATGCCCGTCTGCATGGGATTTGGGGCGAGGAGGAGACCCAGGTGATGGACAATATAACGCTGCCCAATCCCATTGTCAGCGGCGAGTTCTTTATGGTGTACATCTTGGCGTGCGAGGATTGCTTTCACATATCCATCAACAGTCGCGAATTTTGCACATTTCGCTATCGCCTGCCATTGAATGCGATACGCGCCGTCGAGATATGCGATCAAATCCAGGTGATCAAACAGGTCGATCATCGCACCGTATTCCCCAATCCCTGGCCGGCCATACATGCCTCTGACTATTTCAAGGCCTTTAGCAACGATCAGCCCATACTGTTCAGTCCCGGCCATGTGATTGTGATCACGGCGCGTTGCTTTGAGAACAAACGCGGACAGTTTATTATCAAGTTTACCGATTCGGATACGAAACGCGAGGAACTGCATTTTAGCGTGCGTTTCGATGAGAAGTCTGTGGTGCGCAATAGCATGAACAAGAACTTTGAGTAAGTCGCTTTACAACACTGCTAATTGAAAGCTTTAAGCCAACATTTAAAGCTCAGCTGCTAAAGCGAAACTCAGTCAAGCTCATTGAAAGCTTAACTTAATGGCGTTTCTTACATTTTGTTCTCTTTCAACACTACACAAAAGTATTGCTAGCGTATTGAGCACATATTAAAGCTCGCTTAAAGCTGTTGAGTGCTTTTAGTTGCTCATAAAGTTATTTTGCACCACGCAACTTTACTAAGCTTAAAGCTTGACTGTATTAAATAGGTTGAGCCTTACAATTAGTTGTAGCTTAAAAGCTTCTAGGCAAGCTTTAATATATTAAAATAACTTGATTATTAAGCTCAACATACTGATATTTTTCTTTGCAGATTCGGTAACGAGGAGCGCCACGGCGGCTTTCCCTTCGTCTTCAATCAGCAATTCAAACTGGCTTTGGCTTTTACGGAACGCGAAGTTCTAACCGCGGTGGATGGCTATAATTTCTTCAGCTATGCCTGGCGCACACCCAATGCCATGATGAATCTGGTTGGCTTCAAGGTGACCGCCATCAATGGCCTCGTGATACAAATAACCGGCGTGGATCACGTGCAAACGGGCGATCCGACGTGCGCCGGATTCGAGAAATATTCGCGACATGATTACGAGTGCGCTTAGCTTAAGGTTTGCTTTTTGTTTACAACTAGATGCATTCTGTATACTAACTAACTATGTGCTATAAAGTCTGAGAGTTTTGTTTAAGTATTACGTGATAGCTTGACTCGTTTGGGTACTTACATTGCCCGGCGCGGTCACATCATTGCAGAAGTAGCAGCCCAGCTGTTGCCCACCGATGCACTTGAGTCCTGCGATATCCTTGGGATTATCGCCCAGCGGCTCCCGCGTGCTGCCATGCCGCATGACCAGATAGCTGTCAAAGCCCAGCGCCGCATTGATGACAATCTGTGAGGATATATAGGAATTAATATGCATCACTTGAGTCTCATTCGAATGCATTTGTTAACCGGCTCCAACCTTTTGATGTGCCGCACCAAGCAGCGTGGGCAGCCAGCGACTCTCTCGGGAATCGGTGAGCAGAAAGATGACATCATGCGCCTGCAGCTGCTGCTCGATCAGCTGCAGATGCTGCGACGTTTGGGCGCGCAACGCCTCGCCTATGGTATGGCCGGGCATGGGTATTTCCAGTACATAGCCCTTGGTCACGGCGCTGGGATTAATCTCGAGCAGATGCGCGGCAGCTGTGGGTGCCTTCATGCGATTGCCAGCGACTGCGTCCGCGTGCGTGTAGAGGCTCTGGCGCACCGGATTCGAGTAGCCCACCTTGCCGCTGTCCAGCAGCGTGATGTGCTTGAAGCCCCAGGACTAAGGGAATAATAGATATTACAATATATATAACAGATTAATATGACAGAGAGCCGGGCAGACGCACCAGTAGATTGCGGGCCACGGCACAGCCGAGTGTGCCGGCGCCGAAGAGCAGGCACTTGGTCTCTGCCAGGATATCCAAATTCAAATCCGGCACCAGGCGCCACTTCATCAGCTTCAGGTTTAGGTTGATCGAGTTCTCGGCCAGTCTGTTAGGGATGTAATCTCGTAATTAGGGTAATTTTTGGTTTCTTGATGTGCTACTAACTTGGCCGGATCCATGCTGTCGCGCATATTGGCCATGCGTGGCCCCATTTTGCCATTGCGATTCGCTTCCCAGCCGACAAACTGCAGCTGCGCGTAGTTGCATGGCTCCGCCTGGGACACATGCCAAATCAGGCTGTTGTCCAATTGCAGTTGCTGATCGTAGCGCAGGCCCAAAAATTTGAGCGGTTTGCCAACCAGAGTGGGACTAAATGAGTGAAAAGTGTTTAAATGAGTCAAATGTTGTTGCAATTCTGTAAGGAAGCACTGTGCTCAACGCTCTTCACTCTCTCGCTCTCTCACTCTCTCTCTCAACAAAAACAAGAGCAAACTATCGCTATCGATGCCTGACAAATCAAAAAGAGAGCGTAATGCTCTCTTTGAGTGCACACGAAAAGCAACGGTAATTAATTAGCAGATTAACTCAATAATTACCACCGCTGCAGCAGCAAGGCCACATAATTGCGCATCAGCCAGGCCGGATTCTCGTACTCGCTGGGATCAGCGAAACAGTAATAATAATGCTCCGCCTGCTGCTCATCAAATTGGCTCAAGGCAGCGCTCAAGCTGCGCGCCTCACACACCTTCGCCCCCTCGTCCACATACAAGACGAAAAAGTTCTGCGCGTCTGCAGGCAGCGCGCGTATGGCGTCGACGCAGGCGTCACAATTGGGCAGCGCTTTGAGTTTTATGGGGTCGTTTAGCAGCTGCAGGGTGGGCGTCAGCGGGCAGGGAAAGGCGAACCAGTAGTAATAACTGTGGCACTTGAGGTCGGCAAACGATAGGACAAAGAAACGTGTCAATAAACTGGCATCGTTCAAGGCACGTCCGCTGCTCATATCATCCAAAAGTTGCCTGCCCTCATCTGCCAGCAGGGCGGTTTTGTCCAGAGCCTTGAACTCCTCGATTGTGTTTTTATTGTAAATATGCCCGACGGCTGCATGGCTGAATTTTGGTGGCTGCGCTTCGCTGTGAATCGATCGAGTGTTAATTGCTTTGGCCTTATCAGCTGCCTCATTAGCTGCTCACCTATTATATGCGCTGTAGTCGACCTCGAGCAGACAGCCGGACGCCTTGCGATTTGTGTAATGGCCAAAAATTGAGCGTTTCGTATCGGACAGACGATCATAATCCAATTTAAGCTCGGCCAGTTTGTGCCAGAAGGTGGGCGACACAAACGACTCAAAAGGTGCAAATTGTAAAATTTTATTATCGCTCATTGCGTTATTTTGTTGCTAAAAACAGTGGACCGATGCACACACACGCCCACAATGCACAATATAAACAAACAATGGGGAAACAAGTAACAAGCACGGAACGGCATGAGAATGAAACGATCAGCTGTGCGATGTGCAATACTATCGATTGGCACACAGCTATGTGAGGGTAGGGTCACACTGACTACGGAAGTCCTGTTTGTCTCATAAATATGAGTACCTAGAGTATTGACAGTACATAGAATTCGAATTTAATTGAGTTGCTAAATATGCATCCGATTATAATCACACATAAAATATACAAATTTCAAATTCATTCGATATTTAAGAGCACACTTTCATTTTCTCGATAGTCACACATCGATATTCATAGAAATATCGCGGAGCACGCCATCTATAGCATAACCCGATATTACAGTCGATTGTCTAGCAGCACGTCGGACTGGTGGTAGTAATTTTCGCAAAAAAAGTTGCCATACAGTCAGTAATTTATAGAGGTTAGTACAATAAAGGCGGAGAAAGCTCAGAGCCTACTACTACAATTGTATTTAAGTATAACAAGAAATATAATAAAAGTGTGTTATATTGGTTTGAATTCTAGTACAAAGTGAACTAAGGTTATAAAAAAGGCAAAAAAAATATAGCCTCAAAAACTTTTCCATGATGCATACATACATACATATGTACGCTTAAGACGTCCTCGATTCTGCTTCTTCGCACAGAGCTGCAGCAAATCGACATTAAATCAATAAATGTGAAATAATTCAGCAGTGTTTTGCCCTAACAGTGGGAATTCGTACAACTTGAGTGAAAGAAAAATGTAAAATGCGCTGCATGAAATTGACAAAGAAATCGAAAAAAATGATTCACTCAAAATACAAAGAAATGTGTGTATGTATGTATGCATATACAGCACATGCATACATATGTAGGTAGATAGAGCGAGAAGAGCAGCAGCAGCACGGCAACGTCAAGTGCCAGCAAACAAAATGGCGTCGGCACACAGCGGAAAAACTGCTGTTGACGTTGCTTTGCTGCTGCTGCTCTCGCTCCTCTCTTCTCTCTCCACCGTTAAGGTTGAGTTTTTCGATTCGCTTTCAATGCAGCTTCATTTTGATTTTCCGTGTGTACGCTTTTATCTTCGAAAACAGCCACACACGTTTGCACGCACACACATGCGGTACATGTTCATGGTGTGAGTGTGTGTGTATGTGTGTGCACTTTGTACAATGTGCATGACGAAAGCATTGAATAAAGAGTAACAAAAAAAAACTAGTTGCAAGGCATATTGAAAACAGGCCGGGTTATGGCTTTAGAAGAAAACCAGGGCGGGTCATTGGATTGAATACAGTAATTTACGCATTTACCAAGTAAAATTCAGTTTTATTGCCTCTCTCGCTTTGTATCTGTGTGCGTGTGTGTCATTGGAAATGGCATCAGGTTTTTTCTAGTGGGATTTACTTAACGCTTGTGCACGACTCACTCGAATTGAGGTCAAAATCATCCACAACTGGGTCTCTTGACGCGGCATCGGATTTTAGTCTGTTCGGGTCGGGGTCGTCGACGTCTTTGCGCTGCAACGCTTGAAAGGGCGGAATTATGTGCACATTCTTTTGGGGTGGTTTTACACTTTGGACACTTTTGGGGAGTGTTTGGAAGGCATTAAATTGCAGTCACATACACGCACACACACGCTTATATACATAAGTAAACTAACTGCAAAGCAGGCTCAGGGTTGCTTCACATGGGGAGCTTTTGATATGCGGGTATGATTCTCCAATTCTCCAATAGGTACATATGTATATGTATGCATGCTCTCTTTGAGTGAAATTCGTTTATAAGCAAAAGTGAAAAAGTTAGCGTACAAATGCGATAATGTACGCTGCGAAGTTATATTTTGTTTATGCTAAGCACTGCTAATCAACAAAACAGCAACGCACCCATCTAGTACATTTTTATTGGGGTCAAAATACTTTAATTCGATGGCGCAGAGCGCAAACTGCGAACCAGCAAAAGCTCTAGCAGAGGCCATAAACCTCCACACAAACGCACACAAGCAAAGGACACTGACACTGAGAAATTTTTGCTCGCTTGTGCGCAGCAGCAACGTCTAGCAAAATGAGTACAAACACACACGTTCGCAAATGTGTATGTGTGTGTGTATGTATGATACGTGAGCATCCACATCCCAGTTTGATTTTTTTTACATACATATAGAGGAGTTCAAACTTGGCAAACGGAGCGCGCGCAAACAAAGAAAAAGCCAACAAAGAACAAAAGCGAACGACCTGGCAGAGCACAGCTGCTCAGTTAATTTGTGTGCTTATTAAAATCAATTTAAATGCATTAAAACTGTGTATTGAGCACCTTAAGTAATTGCATTTAATAAAATGCACTTTAGCTGCGCACTATAATTGTGCGCCGCAAGACGGCAACACTGTCACGCATCTGTACATAAACTAACACACACACAAACATACATAAAATACATACAATAAATTTCCCCAAGCTGAGCGAGAACACAGCAATTGCTTGTATATATGTATGTATTTGTGTGTGCTTGTGGCGCTCAATTGCGTTGCGTCGTGTGTGGGGGAAAAGTGAAATAAACTTGAAGGTGTTTTGCGAGGTTATTTTCATTAAAATTCCAGTTTTAGACTTCTGATAGTTTCCCATTGTCATCGGTCAACAACTAAGCGAGTGCCTTGGCGCACAACCGTTGTTTTTAGTTGTAAAGCCGAGCTTTTTTTTTTTTTGAGTGTAAATGAAAACGAATGAGTGTTTTTTAACAGCTGTGCAGCAGCATTATTACTCATTGCCCTGTTATTAACATACATATAAAAGGCACGAGCATAAACAAAAGTAGTCGA